ATTGTTGGTTTCGTTTAATACAGTAGAGGCAAGACTTAATGGAGATACTGGAATGTTGTTGGGCAGCTTCTAGAGATTGAGCTTTACTCACAGCGTCGGCAAGACTTAAGTTATTATTTTCTAAGAGGCGTTGTCGAATTTGGACACAAATAATTCCGTTAATAAAGGCATCTCGAATGTACTCACTTTTATTTTCTTCAGCAGTCACTGCTTTAAAACTACATTCTTTGCTTAATTGTTCGAGACTTCTTACATACTGATCAATCGATTCTCCAGGAAGTTGCTTTCTAGTTGACAATTTATGCCTAGAGTATATTTCGTTTTTAGGTTTAACGTAGATTTCAGTTAAAACTTTTATTGCAGCAGGATAATTGGAACACTCGGAGATATATTCGTATGTTGAATTGCTTAGATGATTGATAAGAACTTTAAATTTATCTTCGTCCTTTAAGCTGGCAATTGATGAAATAAAGTTTTCGAAAGTTTTAAACCAGTGTTTCCATTCCTGAGTTGCGCGTGGTGAATTGGGATCTGTTTCAAATCTCTCGGGCTTTAGAAACTTATCCATTCTCCGTATAGTAAAAGAAAATCAAAGTATGTGAAAAGTGTACAATTTTGACACTGAAAGTTGTACAATTCAAAAATCCCTAGGAACAACACTGCTCATGCTTAGTTGTATAGGAGTATAGGTCAGAAGAAAAAAGAAGAAGAACCCACGGGGGTTTATATCATATGCACAATACGTAAACACGTTTCTGCGCATACTCCTCCGCGCTTGGGTGCTCTGAAGTCCGTTTTACAATAGCAAAATTGTATTAAAATGTAAAGCACATTGATTAATTTAATAACATCTCGTTCAGTAACACACAAAAAGTGTTGTTTCAAAAATTTTAATTCATATATTACAACAAACTAAAAAAAACATACCTTCACTTAGTTATTTGTACTATGTGAAGATGGCTTTCTGTCCGCTGCATGACTGCTGGCTGCCCGCTATAGCGGGCCCCGCGCGCGCTGTCAACAAATAACATCAAAATCAAACAAATGTGTGGTTATGTTATGAATTGGTTGTCGACGAAAACATGTGAGTGGAACTACTTTTATTTTTTTAGATATAAGTTATTTAGGATTATTTAAAATCAAGTAAAGGTACTTTGATGCTTTAATATGTCTTTACCAGGCAGAATTCATTATAAACGCATAATTTCTAATTGTTATAGTACATTTTATAAGGCCCATTCCAAACGTAAATTTTAAGAACAAACATTTTTAAATTTCCTTCTGATATTGATCAAAGAACGGAATGGTGTCGTATTTTAAACATTCCACTTACAACCCCAATCATTATACATTATGTGAAAATCATATTTTGATACAAAATTGTTTACAAACACAAATCGTTCAAGACTGCTAAAAGATTTGCTTTACCTTGCTTTAGCATCCTCAAAACCAGATACACCAAAGAGAGTAGTACTTAGTAATATTGTTATCACACCTCCAAACAGAGTCCTGTGTGGATAAAGTTCATTTTAATAATATATACAAAATTAATAAATGAAGCAGAATTTGAGTCAGGCCACTAGTTATGTTGCAGGGTTTATTAAGAAACTTAATAGTTTTGACTGCAAAGAGTGTAAAGTTAATTTACAGACATGTTAGAAGACCATCAATACTTTTACTTATTTTAAAGAAAATTATGATAAAAGACGTTTTATTTATGTACAAAGAAATGTTATTGAATTTCTTTCAAAAATTCTTGAAATAGTTTCACAACTTTTGGGTCATATTGACAACATAATTCAAATAATTAAACTTTTTTGCCAGACCATGTTGATTTTAAATGGTTTACATCAGAGGCGACTCGTGGCCTAGTCTATGAGGAGACTACTTTTAAAAGGCACACCCTATATACTTAATAAAAATATATGTCTATAAGAATTCAAAAAGCAGAAATATTACATTGTATTCTAATAGAAATATATATAAGTATAAAGTATATAGGGTGAGCCAGCTTCCTCACAGACTAGGCCACAAGCCGTCTCTGGTTTACATATAAAGAACATAAAACAGACGTCTTTTCTCATTTAGTTGAAACTTGTCTACTATTAATAATAAGAAAGTATTATAATGATAGTATGAGGGCTGCTGCAATGTCTAAAAGACAAACAAAATGATTTGAAGTTACTGCATTTAATTTTTTTCTGTTTCAGTTTATATGGATGGTTGCTTTTGTCTGATTTCCTAAGATTCAAGAAGAATTTGTTGTTTTGTTTTTTGTTTATTTTAAAAATTTATTTACTTAGGCATTAGTTTTCATATCAAGTAAATTAATTATTTGTTATGCAATTTCTGATTTTTGTTAGCCAAAGATAGTTAACGTACCGAAATAGTAATGTAATGTTTGTGATATTAGAGTAACTTTCTTAAATAATCATTTATAAGACGTCCGGGAGCGCCATAGTAAATAATAATAATAATAATAGACATTCTTGCTTCGCATAAGCTCGCTTGTATGGGGGTGAAGTATATGAAAAATATTTTTTTGTATTGCCATCTCTTTGATATATTTTTTATTTATTTTTCTTGGGAATTTTTAGTAAATATGATTATATAAAACTTTGTATGATATTTATTTTATCCCTCATAATTATTTGTCATAGAATTTTACATTTTTATTGGGCATTTCATAATTGTTACAAACAGCTAATAAAAAAGGAAAATTTTAATTATAATTAAGAGGAAAATTTACTTAAGCAATTATCTTTTTCTAAACAATACGAAATAGAGCCACAAATATTTCTATAGTTTAATTTTACTTTTTAGTGAATGAAAAATATATACCTTCAGGTAAAAGTGAAATGTCTGTTTTTCTGGAGCCACTATTCCGAAATTTGATTTAATTATTTTCTCAATTTTTGAAATCTTTATAAAAACAAAATTTTGCGATTTATTGCCATTAAAATTTGATTAAATTTTGAAAAAGTGGCTCCAGAGGAACATATTTTAGCTACACGTACATGTTTTTTATTTCACTAAAAAATTAAAAAAATTACTATCAAAATTTTGTATGGCTATATTTCGTATTAGTTAGAAAATAATTGCAAAAGTAAATTCTCCTTTAAAAAAACCCGCCAATTTTCAAATTAAATATAAAATTACGGGTAACTGCATTACCGACAGAGTAAGAGTTGATGGTAATACTGCTGGTAACTACATTACCGACAGAGTAAGATTAGTTCTACTCCTCCACCCCACAGGTCGTTGCAAGCAAACATGTTGCCAAATTTCTACAAAGAAACGGCAACTCTTAATAATCCTTCCTCCATGGAAGAACCTAACCTCAGGCTAGGGGATCTTTAATAGGGAAATGCTTACTCGTGTTGTAGTACTGTGCACCACCCATAGATGGCGCTACTTACACAAAGTTTGCTCGTTGCATTCGTCGAGCAGATTCAGAGCAGGTTCAGAGTAACGCAAGTGTACGCAAGTTGTTATTTAAAACTTTCAACAGCTAAAAAAACGCTATTAATGGCAATAATGGTAATGGTTGATTTGTTTTATTAGGTTAGTTTTTCGAAGATAATTTTTAAAGCTTTAAACATATATAATTATGGTGCGAATTCGTCCTTGTGCTGATCCAGATTGTCAGGATAAAGTTAGTCGCAGGTAAGGAATACATTTACAATTTTATTTCTTTACAAGTAAAAACATCTTTTTGTATTTTATTCTTAGATACTTTGCCAAATTTTAAGAGCATATATTATTACTTAAAAGTACCCAATTTGTGAAATAAATTTCCAAAATAATGCGGGTAACCTAATGTTTTCTAGGAAAAATTAAAAATCTTAACCTAACTTTTATCATTTTCTATACAATTTCAGTAACTAGATAAAATATGTGAATATTAAGAAGATTGAAATAAATAGTGTTATTAATATTTTTTTAGAATTATACAATATGTAATGGATACTTTATAGTAGATACCTATATACAATTTTTTTTCCGAATTCAAAATGAGGTACTTTTCAAACATACCAATAATTGTATATTTTATATTGTGCGACTCTTATTATTTTTTGCTCCATATACTGTGACCTACCTCACCTAGGTATCTTCACAATTTATTGATTCCAATATAAAAGTTGCATTCTTACTAAATTCAAATTCCTTCATTTTATTGAAAAATCTTCTACGATATATTTTTAAGAAATGCCGATTCATTCTCACTAACTAATAAATTAATAGCTCAGCTGAATTGACTCAAAACAAAAATAATAAAATTGAACTTTATATTTTTTAACAGATACTCTTCTTCATTTTTTACATGAAAACGAATCAGCAAACACTGCAATAGGAAGTGACAAGTACACCCAACAGCAGCCAGAGCCAACTTTCCCCAGGAACTTTCGTTACAACTTCTACTGGATACAACCATGGGTGAACTTCGCAATAGTTTTATATTCATATTTCTTTATTATTGTGTACTGTAATAAGAATTCGTGCAATTTTAATTCTAATAATAAAAAATATATGGTTATAATAGTGTTTTACTTCATAATAAGATGTATTTTTTGTTCCATAAATCCAAAATTATAATTTTTCGTTTTCTTTTTAACTTAAAATATTTCAAATTTTATCTATCACAGAACATAACCCAATGGATTATATCCATCTAAGTATGTTGAGTGAAGAATAAAATGTTTGAATCATTTTAAGTAAAAAAGAACGAAAAATTATAATTTTGAAAACTTAGTAGTGGTTTATTAGAAAGGCCGAGTTTGAAAAACCCGCGCTCATTGACCCCTACCGCCATCTATATAATAAATCTTGAACAAATTTTCAATTATTAGTTATCTTCTTTTTTTTTAACTCAACTATTTGCAACCGCTACGGATGGCGCTGAAAGATGAGTAAAATTTTTCACTGTTGAGTGGCCCATCTTTAAAGGGTATGGTCTGTGCCTAACCTCTTTACTCTTTATATTACTCAAAAATGATGGCCTTTTAAAAAATATATATAAATTATAAATATGAGTTCGTTAGCAAGGGTTATTCAAAAGTTAAGCATTCTAGATTTAAAAGCCACTACTCCAATTATTTCTAGTGTAAGATTTAAAGCCAAAATTGTAGAAAAACCACAAATAGGCCACGGAATAAGTTTTCGCAGAAGAGTTAATTATCCAGAAGAATATACAGTTAAACCTTTAAATGTTACAAACTTAGGTGGAAGAGATCCTGTCACTGGTCGGCTAGTAGTCAAAGGTATCGGCGGGGGAATTAAACATAAGTACCACTGGATAGATTGGAAAAGGGTCGGTCCAAAGGAAGAAGGTAAAGTGCAAGAAGAAAAAGTAATTAAAATTATGAAAGATGGTTGCAGAACTGCAAATATAGCTTTAGTTGCCCATGGAGATAAGCTCAAGTATATTTTAGCTACTGTTAATATGAAACCTGGGGATATTATTAAAACATCTTGTTACATACCAAGGATCCCTGGTAAGCATATATAAACTTAAGATAGTTAATACAGCTAATAAAAAATATAAATCGTTTGTACATTGTAGTAAATGCCACTGGTAGGATATAATCTTATTGATGTATTTTTTAGTAAGAGCCAATGAAGGAGATGCATATCCTCTAGGAGCCTTACCTTTAGGAACCCAGGTACATTGTGTTGAAAAATATCCAGGATTCGGTGGTACCTACGTACATGCTGCAGGCACATATGCAACAATCTTACGAAAAGCCCCCAATGACCATGTTGTCATCATGATGCCATCAAAAAAGGAATTTAGTTTGCCAGCAATTAGTATGTGTACTGTTGGAAGGTTAAGCAACATAGAATATGGCAGCACACCTATTGGTTCTGCTCAAAGGAATAGAGAATTGGGTAATAGACCCAGGTCTGGTTTGTGGAAGAGGAAGACAGGAATCCACGGAAGAAAAATTCGAAAACCTCCTCCTGTTAAAACGATAGTAGCCAAACCAAAGGATGAAATAGAAACAATCGTTTTAAGTTGTCACAGGCCTTTTGTAAAAACTAATAGAAGTCAATTTCATTATTAAATTTGTGTCCTAATAAAAAATTGATTATTTACATAAGCATGACGTTAGAACAGAGGTCAGGACCCTGCAGCCTGTGAGAGGCAAGAAGCTCAGTAGAATAATTAAGTATACTTGAGGCTCTTGAGTAGTTTAATAGTATTAAAAAATTACCTGCAATTGTCAAACAAATTCAAAAATTTTGCATACACATCAAACCTAGTTTTATCTGACCTTGCTCTAGGGATCCGCAAATTTTTTAAAACATCGATCAAATGATACAGCGAGCTCGTGGGTTTGAATGTAGGTGACGCGTTGAAAATAAAACAAACAAAATTCTACTTTTTTTATTTTTTGTATATAAGGTTGATTGTCGGATCTTTTAAATTTGCAAAATTACCTGTTATATTATCAAAAAATGGCTCTGATCGTACAAATTCATTTAAGAGTGTCTTTTTATTTGAAATTTTTGCTAAATTGGTAAGTCAATCTTCTGTTATTGTATTTCGTAGATATATTTTAATTTATTTTAAACAAGAAAAAACGTTCAACTGAAACACTAGTGGATGGAATAGTTAAGATTAAGCAATATACCTTATAGCTTCTTTGAAAATATCATGATTCTCAGTTTTTCCAACAATTTATCGATGTCAATATTTATAAAGTTTTCATCACTGTAAATAAACTGTAACTCGTTTTTTAACCTTTGTAAGTCATTTAATTTACTAGGATACATTTGAACTAAATTATTTAGTGCTGTAGAAAAATTCCGAATATACAGAAAATTTAGAAGTGTCCATTAATGGTAGGAACTGAAGCTTATCAGTATCCTGAAACCGAGTGTTGATTTATTCTAAACTTGTGTCCAGGATTTCATAATACAGAATTTTATATTTTTGAACTACTTGATCTCTTGTCAAGAATTGTCTTATGCACCCATCACGGTGCTCAGTGGACAGTTCTGTTCTTAGGGAAACTGCATCAATTATATTTGCAAAAATAACTTTACTTCTTTTAGCGTTTAGTTGATTCTGCGCATTTTTAATTTGATATATGCAGTAATTTATATCTAAAAAACGTTTCTGCAATACATTGCTGTCATTAAAAATGATAACTAGAAGAACAAATTCAGTCATTAAAGTAGCCCTGGCTCTGTCTTATTGAAGTCTGATCAGAATTTGGGTCGTTTAAAATGTCATTAAAAACTTGTTTTAGAAAATTCCAATTGTTATGAATAAGACTCAAAATCTTAGAATTAGATGACCATCTTGTAACTACTGAAGTGGGTATTCGCTTATTGAGGATTACATCGGCGGCGTGAGTTATTTTTGCTAAATGATGAAAAAAAGAAGGCAGACCATTCACATTAGCAAAAAATATACGGCACTTCGAAATGCTGTTACAGCTTTGAGACAGGACTAAATTCAGACGGAGCGCCAAACAATGAACGAACACCGCCTCTGGTGCTACTTCCTATTTATCTTCGATTGTAAACCATTTAATTGCCCTGACATAACACTAGCGCCGTCATAACATTATCCAACAAGTTTTGATTTGTAGTCATATTTTTCTAGACAACTTGTAACTAGGGTAAACAATGCTTGAGCTGTTTGATCAGAACTTACATCATAGAATCCTAAAAATTTTTCAACTTGTTTTCCTTAAGAGTTAACATACCTAATATTATGCTACATTGAGATTTTTGAGCAATATCTGTTGAGTCATATGCTTGAATGAAACAAAAATGCAATCATTTAATTCTATTTCAATACATTGAGAAATACAGTTTAATTCATTTTGAATTATTTTAGAATTTGTTGCAAATACAAGCGAAATTTTTTTATAGTGTTCTTGAATGTCTACAGAACTGAGTGAGATATAGGTAGGAATCTAAAAGTTCCTTAAAATTACCGCGATTTCGAAATGCCAATTCTTGTTTTCCTAGAAAAATCTGATGTGTCCAACACATGACTTTCCTATCTAATTAATACAGCCTTTTTTCGGTTATTTTAATGTATTAATATTTAGAGGTTAACTTAATGTATACATTTTCCACATACATCTTACTCGAAACATTTTTCTATATACACTATACACTCATTGCCAACGAAAATGCTGAAAAATTGAAATTTTATACTTTTCCTCCAATTTTTCCATTGTCCACTTTAGAGAAATCATGTAAAAAACAAAAATTATAGAGATCGATATCGCAAACATTTTTTAGTTCAACAATTTTCTTAAAAATTTCTCGAATACGGACCATTTTAAGAAAATTTTGTAAAGAACAAAAATTATAGAGAATAATATAAGAAGTAAATTTTATTTGAAGAATTTTCTTCTCCAAACGTAAATAACAGATATATTTTATAAAATATTAAAATGACCCCCCAGATGTTCCGACTCTGCTCAAAATCTAATCAATTCACCGCAGGCCAGAATAAAGCTTAAGATTAAAATTGGGTGTTTTTCTTTGTATCCGTTCATGAGTTATCGTGGATACAGACACATACACACAGACATCATCGCGAAAATAGTCAAAACTGATTCAGGGGACCCCAAAACGTAAAAATAAATCGAAAACTCCAGAATATCATGATTCCTATACTTTCTTTATCTGTATACAGATAGGAAAGTAAAAAAACTGCTCGAATTGGCAACTGCATAAAACGTCTGTTAAGATGCACTTTTTCATTAAATTGTTTTACATATAGCCTAGAGTTTTCTTTTAAAGCGTCTTCAATAGTATTTAATTTTTTTTTTAGTTCTGTAAATCTTAATGCACAACGAATATGTCCACATATGATGATTCATGTTTATGTAGGCCGCCAGTTACGTTCCCAAATTCTCTAAAACCGTTTTTATTTCATACATTTGATTTTACACCTACTATTAAACAGGGTACGCAAAAATGCTTGTTTGAATAAAAACTACCACACAACCATTTACATTCGGAATACCGCTCTTCGAAATTTTCGCACACTTTGTCCTTTGACTTAGTTTTTTTGCTTACATTTAGTAGAGGTTTATGTTTTGGCGAATTTAAACTCTAATCCTCACTTCCCCATCTACAGAATGGCATTTTCAATAGCATACATACTGGATCGTGTACTGGAAACATTGTTAGAAAAATCGAAAAAACTCGCAATAGTCGCAACCCATACAGCACACATTATTTCAGAAATGTTTCAGAAATATTTCAAACGTTTCAAACATATAACATTTCAAGCACAAATTTCTGAAATATTTTAGTTAGGACCGAGGGGTAAACCGCTGAGGAAGTCTGGTGTACAGACTCAAGAAAGTCCCTTGGAAATAAATGGAAGTTCTTTGAAGTTAGTGAGAAGTCTTGAAAGTCAGGAGGAAGTCCATAGAAGTCATGATGAAGTCAATGGAAGTCATGATGAAGTCCATGTAAGTCAGGAAGAAGTCAGGGTGAAGTCCATGGAAGTCATGATGAAGTATATAGAAGTCATGTGAAGTCTATCAAGATTTCCTGAAAGTGCGCATGCGCCTCGGTCATCAGGTGACTAAAATTATGTGGTGCCATGGGCGTACGCAGAAAATTATTATTTAAGTATATTATATATACATACACTAAGGAAAAAACAAATATAGAAGGGAGCACAATAATTTAAACAAAATTAACCTTATTTTAATATTATATCTTTATCAAAGAAGAGGATATGTATTTATTGAACTATAAATAATTACTCCTAATAGTTATTGTATAACTCTACCTAACATAAATTTTTGTAGGTACCTTTTATTCAATTTATTTTACTTTAATACGAAAAGAATTGTTAACATTTAAAAAAAAAATAACAAATATATCAATTTCCAAAGTCTAAAGGTACAGAACAGAACAACTTTAAAGTGAAACACAATCGATATACAGGGTGTCAACTTAAAATCTTGCCACCCATAATATGCAGGATGTTTGCAAAAGGTATTTACAAAAACATACCACATAGGTCCCTTTACACTACAGGTCATTAAGAAATAAGCCAAGCTTAAAATGACATTTTTCCATTAACAATTCCATTTTGAGGGGTTGAGCGCCCCCTCATAGGGGGTTGCTGGTTCAAGCCTCAAATATACGTCAAAAGATGTCCCCCACAGAAAATCATCCGACATGTTTAGAAATTTTTCCAATTACTATGGGATAAGAAATATACGGGGTGGCTCGTCTGAGATGGAACACACTGTATAGTTGTGATCCGACAGAAGTGAACACTGGTCCATAAATATTGCAAAACGATTGGTTAAGGAAATCATTCAAAAAAGATGTAAGACTATTCTTGATTCAACAAAAGTATAAATACATAAACAACACTAAAAAACATTTAAAAACAAAAATGTTCGATTTTGAGATTATATCTAAATTTCTCAAAAATATATTGGATTGAAGATGGCCATAATTCGTGAAATGCAATACTGGTGCCATCTATCAACAGATAGTCACACTATCGAGTTGCACATATTACTTGTAGAGGCCGAAACTTGATTTTAAATTAACGCACTTTGCTCTCGCGCTCATGGAGAAACGATTATTACTCACGTTCAGGGGTGCTATTTTCAAAGTCGAGAGAATTCATTTCTCTCGAGAGAAATGTCATACGTCAACGTAAAACAGTATTTTTAGGGTCCTAAGGGCCAGTGTGAACTCACTGATTGTTTCTCACGGTTTATTTAGAGATAATTAATATCCTCCTAAGAATTTTAATCCTCGAGGCCTTTAAAAACAGCGTTTCCACATTGACGTATGACATTTCTGATGAGAATCTTGAGAGAAATGAGTACTCACACGGTTTGAAAATAGGTCCCCAGGCCTCGTAACGAAATGGAGACACGCGTAACAAAAAAGCTACAAAAAAGTTACAAAAAATGAGCCTGGTCCGAGCTGGTGCCGCTACAAATATCCGCTAAGCTAGCGGATCCGCGCTTTTCTCAGGTTCAGTACAAGCTACAAAAAGGAGACTGGCTTAACAAAAAAGCTACAAAAAAGTTACGAAAAACCAACTTGG